TAGTCTGAAAATCTAAATCTATATAATAATCACCAATAATCACCAAATTAATTGTAAATGGCAATATTTATTAGTTGCAGACAAGCTGATGTTCAGTATTAAAAGAAAAAAAAAAAAACGAGCCAGTGACTGGAAATTGAATAATTAATTTGTTGTTTATAGCAGAAAAGCTGGACTGTATAGGAAATATTTTTAGTATTTTATGACATCATATAGACCAGAAATGAATCGATATTGACAATATTTGTCAGTTTCAGGCAGGACTAACGTTAGGATTAAAGAAATGAACGAGTTGCTTTAAGGTTAATAAATAATTGCCATGTTTAAAGTGGAAACACCGCCTGGTTTTATTGCTCATTTAATAAAGCAAAAATTACATCTTTGGACAGCGTAAGAAGCTTTTTTTTATTACCCAAAGTATTAATACAAAATCTACAAATAATCAACAAATTAATCAGTATTGACAATGTTTGTTAGTTGCAGACAGATTGATGTTCAGGATTTAAAACAAACAAGCTAGCGATCAAACAATTATTCATTAATGGCCACATTTAAAGCTAAAACACTACCTGATTTTATTGGTCGTTTTTAATACTGTCTTGTAACGTTATACATCATGGGGTTTGATCTACAGTCAAGAAATAATCAACAAGTTGATCAATCAGTCAAGCCAATAATGATAGAATAATTGATGAACTGGTTGTTTATAACAGCAAAGATGCATTTTTCACTATTTCATGATATTGTATTGGCCAGTATTTTGCAATCAGACATAAATGAATAATTAATCATTAATGACAGTTATGAGCTCACACAGTCAAATACAACAGAAATGGAAAGAAAAGAAAATCCCCATTAGAAATGTAACAGCCACAGATGTACAGTAAAACCTCTGCAGCACGAGGGACTACAGTAATAAAGCCCACGCATGACACACACCCTCACTTAAATAAAGACAGAGCAGGCACATAAGGCAGCCATTATTAGACATCACAGGCATGCAGTATTGATGGACAGGGAAAAATATTATCAGTTAATTTTTAATTCCACGTCTTTCCAAACGTTTTTAGATCCCACTCTCAGTTACAACACACTGCTTCCACGTGAAAGTAAGGCATGTTTTTATGTGCAAAAAAACAAGACTGAATAGCATTTTGCCTGATTTAAGGCTTTTCCCCCTCATCTCACTGTGTTTCTCTCCATGTAACCGGCCATTTTATAGTAATGGTTAGAGTGGAGCCTCTGAAGTACACGTCTCCGTGCTGGGACCGAGTCCCGCCGCTGCCGTCGCCGCTCCCTGCCACCCAGCACTCTCAGAGAAGAGGCGCTAAGGGGACCTCTGGCTTTGCTTTCCATCTTCTGGAGCACCATCAACATCTTCAGAGCATTTTTGTGTTTTCATAGCATCTTTGGCGCATTATGACCACCGTTAGATCTAATGTAACGTATTAGTCCTCCCACCCGACCATTTCCCTTCATTTTGATTCACTCTCTATCCAGGCTTTGATTTACTTTCAGCCTAACTAAAGTGGATTTTAATGAGAGAATACATTAACTCCCTCTGGTCATGCTAACATAAATCAGCCTTTTCTTGCGGGATCAACTGCTGAGCTCATAACACCATGCTGGGAGAGTGTGAATAACCAAATGAGAGATTGTGGCTTTGGCAAACCGCTGGCAGCTTGGATGCATTGTTATGTATTCATGTATCCCCTCTGAGTTTTAACACGACTTCAGGAAGGCAGCAGAATGGAGCACTTATCGGCACGCAGGTCGGCTAGCTTATGGAAACGTTCCTTTGTCGGAATCAATTAAACACATATCTCTGGTCAATTTTCCATTGATTATCTCCTTACATTTGGATCTTTTCATACTGATGACCGCTGAGAGCCGTTAGATTCAGTTAGCGCGGCCAGTAGCAACTCCTCACCTTGATTTACGAAACACGGGATGCGACTCTAACGCCACATCTATCTGCTTCTCTTTGTTGGTAATTGCACTCAGCTAAATAGGTTATGCTGAATATCAATAAATTGCCATCAAATTAATGTCAATACCAAAGCTGTGGATGGTGCTAATTAAAACGCAAAAGGGATGAAAATGAAGTCATGGCATTGCCCTGAATAATTGATAACGCAATTTATGATTTTTATGAAAGAGTGCCGTCTGTCTGCGATTTTGATGAGGCCTTAATTAGATGCATTAATGTGTCTCTCTGTGCCTGTACTCAAACTCAAACACCATGATGATTTTGGAGTTTTTTTAACACCCTAAATTACACATTTTCAAATAACATTACCTCAGAATATCCTCTTAAAAAAAACACAAAAGAGGTGTTAGTGTGTAATTCTCATTAAAGGAGGCATTGTTAACTCAGGACCAATCAGAGTCTGCTTATTTTAGGGTGGGATCAAGCAGCATTGGACAGCGAGAGGCTTTTAGGTTGTGCCGCTACCCTGTGGATGAATCTCGAGCTATTGTTTCGCCGCAGTCGATGTTTGCAGCCGTGTTCACGATGCATGCAAGGATAGTCAAGTGGAGGTCAGGTCACCTGGCGTTAAAGTGTTAAGCACGCACGAATGTGTAATGTTTATTGACTCAAGTAGATCAGAGTGATCCTGTGTTGATTTTGCACCTCCTCATCTATTAGCCGGGCCGACTTTGCAGATAAATGAAGAGCGAGGGAAGCAGACGGATGAGGGGATTAGAAGTGGGCCGCAACAGGGAAGCAGGACCAGAAAAAAAAATGGACGGACTGCCGGCGGATAGATGAGGTGGAGGAGCATAATGACCGCTGTTTGTTATGATGTGCCGAATCAGGTTCTCTTTGACAAAACAGTCCTTAGCACCTCTGTATTTATAGTGTCACCGGTCAGTCCATCCACAAAGGCAGGCTGATGATATGTGAGCGTGTTAGTGCTGTGAGGTGTCTGGGGCTCAGCTCCGGAATGACCCGCTCATCTGTCAGGACCGCAAACCGAAGCCACGAGGGGTTATCAGATCACACACAGGTTTGTGGTGAACTTAAATCTCAGAGATGTTGGCCTAGCAAAATGAATAAATAAATAAATAAAACAGTAATAGCTCTATTTCGCTCTCTGGAGCTGAGTTGTTTAGATGAAACTCGCTGCGAATAGATGGCAAATAATAAGTTCAGGAGTGGCCATTCAGCTGGGCTAATACCCACTTAGTTTTCTCCTTGTTGGTGATTTTTATGAATGACACAGAGGTTCCTGTTTGTCTAACGTTGGGGGATGCTCTTTGTTTGACCCAGAGGAGCCAGTTGTGGGTTGACATGTTTGGTTTTTCCCAGCAGTTAAACAGGCCCTCTCTGAGGGGGATGGACTCCAGGCATTCCCCCTGTCATCGCTGCTCTGAATGGGGGTGTCACACGGACTCGTGTAAATGGTCTTTGAATTGTTCCTGTGTTTCAGACTAAAAAGGGAGCTCCTTCTCTTCCTCTGCTCCTCCAATCCCCGTTGACTAATGAACTCAGAGGAAGCTGAGCTTTGTTTTTGACATGTAGAAAAGCCAGGTACTCCCACTGAAACACAGGGAGGAGGATGGTCTATGAGGTCGATGTAAGGTCAAGTTCCTCTCTAACAGCTAAAGGCTAGAAAATGGGAAAATACTTTGATTTTCTTCTGACAGGTTCAACAATAACTTCAACATGGAGCAGCTGGTTTAAATTGCATCTCTTCAGGCAACTTGCTGTGGAGTGTTTATCTCATATAACTGCAGCATTATAACAAAGAGAAATGTTAAAGCTACTCTCACTGTTCTGAAAAGGTTACTATTCAGTGTTAGTCATGTTTTTTTACCTGCAACAGAAACATTATTTCAGATACTTCAATAGTTGTTTGAGTGGTTTTGATCAGGCTTAAATTACCAGATAACATTTTATATATAAAATTTCTCTATACTATTTATATATCTACAGATAAACTGTTTCTAATGGGTATCTCATTGTGTGGTGCATGTCTCAATGGAAACATGTTTCCTACATGCTGACACTTTTTACCCACATTTAGATATAAAGTCTTTTCAACAATCTGAGAAAACAGCCTTTCACTTTTCACTCTCCAGTCAAATCTCAACGTTGTTTAACCCTCCGGAGTGAATGTCCAAATCACATGACTGATTTAAAATGACCCTGAGCAAGACACAGCCGGGCCGAGTCTTCATTTCAGCTTGTGTTGAAAGTGCCGACTTCAAACTATATACCAGTTTTTACTCCTAACGGTGCGGAGATCTGGATTTTATTGACAGACTGATCCTTATAAGTCCTACAACAACAGAAATGGACGCTAACAAAATAACTATGCTTACAATATCTATGTTTTAAATGTAAATAACAGAAGCTTTCTAGATATTTTATGATTTGATAATGATGCGTTAAACTATGTAAAATAATGCATACATAATTAAACGTGTTCTGAAGCACGTTTAGTGTTATATTTCAGATCATCTCAGTAGATATTTGGGGTTCAAGTATTTATTTTAGTTTGATATTGCAAAGGTAATTGATCATAACCTAACTATCATCCTGTCATGTTTAAATTTTGACTCGGCACTCTGACGAGAGGTTTTTAATCCCCACAGGAAGTTTCCTCTCATTAAAATGCAATGTGAGCAGATGAATGGAGTGCAGTGCTCAGCAGCACTGTAGAAGTATTGATCCCAGTTTCCTAAAGACTAGCAGGGATGTATTTGATCCACGGGGATAGAGACTTTATATTCTGATGTGTGTGAAGTGCCTTGAGGGAAAAAGGGAAGTGTATGTGTAGCTTATAAGGAGTTAGTGAGGAAACAATTAGTTGTTTTGTCAATTAGCTGATTCACTGGAAAAAAATGTTAACAAAGCTTGAAGTCGTTTTTCAAGAAGGAAATTCTCAGATTTCAGCTTCTCTCATGTGAGGAACTGTTTCTTTTTCATTTGTGATTATAAATTGATTTTAGACAGACATAACAAGATGTTTCACGTCTGGTTGCTCTCACAGACGATGAGGATATCCTTCCAGTGGCAGCCTATGAGCTCACCAACATCCTGAAGCAAGGTTACTTGGAAAAGAAACGAAAAGGTACGACAACAGATAGACTATCAACAGTCTCTCTTTCATTTGTCTCGCTTTTTGATCTGTTTACACACAGAGAATTGGTTTCCTGTGAATAATTTCCTTTTTTTGCTTTGCTTTTTCGTTAGACCACAGCTTCTTTGGACCAGAGTGGCAGAAGAGATGGTGCATCCTGAACAATTCGATATTCTACTACTTTGGGAGTGAAAAAGGTTTGTTTTCAAATGCCACCATGTGGAAACATCGCAGCTGCATAATTTTAAATTGGATTTCATCCCACTGCGTGTTCTCCTCTCCCCCCTACAGATAAACAGCAGAAGGGTTCATTTTATATCAATGACTACACTGTACAGATGGTGACCAACCTGAGAAAAGACTCCAAAAGAAAAGCCTGTTTTGAGCTCAGTGCTCCCGGAAAACGGCCCTTCCAGGTCTGTATTATCTCTGTATTATTATTATTAAAGAAATAAACTCCAGTAAAATCATGTCTTATTAAGAGCTGACATGATTTCTTCTGGCAAAGAATATATAATTATATATACTATAGTTTGATGGAGTCCTGCAAAGATTTTGCAAAGGTTTTTGTAGGCCAATCCAAAAATTAGCATTGCCCTGGTTCCTTAGACAATAGGCTGGTTGGATTTTAACATTAGTTTTTTTGGATTATTTCGGAATTTCAGTGGGAAAGAAAAAGCTTATATAAATAAGCTTAAATAAAGCTTTATGTCACCACCATCCTTTGTCCAGGATATCCACTCCTCCTCTGCACATGGCCAAACCAGCTGGTTTTAACCATCTAACCATCAACCATCATGTAACCTGTTTAAAAGACCCCATTGACTTTTGAGTTCAGGAAACTTGAAGAGCAAAATGTTAATGTAATTTCTGGGTCTTAGGATTCATTCTTTTGGCACTTTATCGAGACTTTTGGGGATTGTAAAAGGGTGCTTAAACATATTTGGTCTCTGAATTAAAACTAAACTGCAGTAAAAATACATTTTACTGAAATGATATCGTCAGAGCATACTTAGTCCCCCACAAACTTCTGAAAAGTTTATTTTTCTCCTGTAAAATGTCACTGTGCGTCACATTGTCTGTGCCTATAAAAGGTTGACATTCATCCTCTCACGCACACTAAGACCACTAAAACAATCGGTGAGACCCATGAGGGCAGGTATCGAGCTGCTGACCCTGTAATTATTGGGCATCCCACTCCACCATCAAAGTCACAGCTGCCTCAAACATTATCAGATTATCTAGACTAATACAATTTTGCCTTTTTTGCTTTTTTATTGTTGTATCCCTGGTTCTGTTTATTAGGTTTTTATTGTAATCCTCAGGTCTTGATTTTCCTTCTTCTGCCTCCTATATTCCCATCGGTCTCATCATCTCTACATCTCTTTCAGTTTATTTCCTGTTTTATTTTGAAGGTTAGATATTCAGGTGATTTTCTGTAGTTTTACTTCCTTCCTTTGTTCTTTTTCCTGCTCTCGTTAGTGTCTGATTACCTGTTTCTTATTACCCTTCTCTCCTTGTGTCTAGTCTGTCTTTAAAGTCTTACGTTTTCTTATTTGAAGATTTAAACTATTTAGTTTTTTTTAACCTCTTATTATCGTACAGACCTCTAAGTTTCTAAGTTTGAATTGAAGAATGTCGCCCCAGCTTCAGCCTGGTTTTCAGTCTGTGTTTGGGTTGAATGTGTTTTTTGTGACATTTATAAACTAAAGATGTAGTTTGATAAATGTACACGTGGAATGCGTTTTTGTTTTCCAAGTCATTTAATTTTTAGTTAGATTCAGATATTTTTTTTAACATTTCACAGCTATTTTAAAAAGAGCAATATCTGTTCTTTCTTTTTCTCTCCTCTTATATGGCTAGAAATAAAAATGAATAAAAATCCAGGCACATAAATGCACGTTTAAATTATAATCACAGTATTATTATTGCCGCTCTCTCCTTCCAGTTCACTGCCAGCAGCCCTCAAGAGGCCAGAGAATGGGTGGACCAAATCAATTTTGTACTTAGAGGTAAGCCAGCTTCTCTCTCTCTTTTTCTTTTTTCTTTATTTTACTTTTTCTGACTTATTGCATATGACTCATTATGGAAAACCACTCCCTGCCTTGTTTTCCTCCTTTCTCTCTGCACTGTTCAATGATAGCCCATTCTTAAGACAAATATATATTGTTATATATAAATAAAATTGACTTGGCTTTTTAAAAGTCACATAGGTTAAGTGGAAAATACAGTTAAAGCAGTATAAATGTTCTAAAAAATGTTCTTTTGTACTAAAGTTTTCTTGTGTTTTCGAGGGGCAGAAAGGTCAGAAGTGCAAGGGAGTTCTTTGTCATCTCTGACTCATACGAAAACCGCCCCATCCATCACTAACTACACAGCTGAACACAAGAGTCCTGAATCACCTCATTCGACATGTCACCCACCATGTCATGTGCACCATCGTGTAGCTCTGGTTCTCCTCCACTCCTCCCCTAACCCTCCTACCGAATTCCAACTTACAGGAAATTGATTGGTAGATGTTCTGGTTATCCTCCAGTGACATTGATTTCTGCTTGGCTGCTGGTGTACGGCAGAGGACCTGATACCCTGTGTTGCAATGGCCAGTCGCCTGCAATGAGACAGCTCCTCCATCTGAGCGAGCAGTCGTGCCTCGTCTACGCTAAAATGGGCTCGGGCCGGGCCACTGATTTGCGGGAAGTAACGGACACTCGGCAGTTTGTCTTACTTCCTCCCACCCCCCACGCCTTTTTTTTTTTTACTACAAAAAAAACAGAGCATGCAAATGATTATTTATCCTCTTCACCTTCAAATTCATCTGAGTGCATCGGCACGCTTTCCAGAACGTTTTGCCTTAAATGCAAGGACAGAGAAAGAGAGAGAGAGGGGGCGTATGAGATGCAACAAAAGATGCAGTTAGATGGGATGCGTCTTCATCTGTAGGACGACCCAGAATGAATATGATAAACAGATGGTAAGCAGGAACCACAGGGATGATGTGAGAGGGAGAGGCTTCTTATTGGATTGTGGAAAATTATAAAGTGAAAATCAACAACAACCGATAACTTATTAACATCTGCTAGATCTGACCTTTCAAATGTGCTTTCCCCTTTGTGTTTTATCCTTTTCCTCTAGGTCTGAGCTGTCAGACAAAATGGAAATTATAACCGCTTTTTTTCTCTGGCGTTTTAACAATAATTTATTGCTTAGTTGAAAACAATATAAAGGCTAACAGCTAATGAGCATGATAACGGTTTGCAGCATGTTTCGGGGGCACCAGTGTTTGTCACCGCTGCTGTTTGGCACGTGTCTCGGCCCCGTTGTGCAGCGAGGACGTGGCGGACATTTCTCTTACTTTAGCCCTTAATGCATGTCTCTGTCTTTTGTGCCACGCTGTGACGCTAACACTTTCTATCACATTGTTTCCCCTTCCCTCGTAGATCTCAGCTCCAACTTCATCCCCGTCGATGACGAGGAGGAGGACGAGGATACCTACGATGACATCGAGGGGGTGGCCAACGAAACCCCAACTCGGCCGACCCTGGCCTCCCGGGGAGGAGGAGTAGGCAGAGGACAGGAGATAGAGGAGGAGGATGACGAGGAAGAAGATATCTACGAGGAGCTGCCAGGTATGAGGATGTGGTTGGACACACACTTGCGCAAATAAATAAACAGAGAAGTGACGCACACACACAACCCCTCATGATACTCAGTCAGACAGACGCTCAAACCCTGGGGGATTTTTGCAACATGAAATATCTGCCATCTTTCCCTGCTGCGAAATTTGTGTTGCCAGGTTCCTCCAGACTGATCGCTCATTTTAAATCAAGCAACACTAATAAGCTTGTCAGCACCGGGGTGGCTGCTGCAGGACAGGAAGAGGAAGATTCACTTACACCTACTCCAAATCTGCTCCCTCCTTATCTCTCTGAACAAGTTATGTTGTTGAAATCAGCGAGAGCTGGCTAGTTTCGCTCCGTCATAGACCGTCCAATTAGCTAATGTTGCCAGGCAACAAATGGCCCACAGTTCAATCCACTAAGCAAGAGTTTTGGCTAAAATTGCCTGGCAACAGCAATTTAGATGAAAGGAAGTAAAAACTGCATCTCGCAGAGCTTAAAATAGATCTGAAGCTCTTAATGTCACATCTTTAATAGAAATTAGAGTTTGACCGACGAGACCCCATGACTGTGTGTGTGTGTGAGTGTGTGTGTGAGAGACAGTCCCATGGCTACAAGATCCCAAGAAGGACAAAAGGGGGTGATCCGATCTTCTCAGGGCCGTCGTCCATCACTCGTTCTATTAGATAAGATACATCAAGATTCAGTTTCACTCAGTGAGTACATTACCTTTGCCAAAATCACTGGTGAGAGGGGAATCAGTCTTCAAACTGTCACGCCGGCGTTCAGAGCCATCTGGGAAGAGGTACCGACCCTGACCACAGATGGCATATCGAATGACGGGCTCTTTCGTTCACTTTCTCACCCCTTCGCTTATCAGTCATGCTGCACCTCCCTCTGCTCGGCTTTTACACAGTGATTACAGACTGTTCAATAATTCAATTTGGGAGTAATTTTCACTGATCAGCTGCCATGTTTGCATTTAGGAACCTTTCTATCTCTGCAAATAGAAGCATTTATTCCATTTGTAATTAGTAAAAAATGTCTTCATATAGCACACGTTTACTTTTAGGTTTTTTTCCCCCTGACCTTAAAATAAACAAATTATTGTGACACTTGTGAAAGCTGTGTATGATTTAAAAATAGTGCTGTTTAATAGTAAATTAAAGCAACTATCTAAAACAGAACAACAAAACATTACAGCTTAGAAATAACATGATAGAGGGTTAAGAGTGATAAAAATTATGGTAAAACCACAGTAATAACCTAGCTTGGTATCATCAACAGATAATATGAAACTGAAATCTATATTTCGGGATAAAAGCAGGCAAAAACAAAAGGAGGGTGAAAACTGCCTCTGCATAATGGCATGAATTAAGTCCCTGCATCCAGAAAGATCTGGATTAGTTTCTGACGTTGGATGCATTTGTGAGGGCATGGCCCCAAATTTCCATTTTCTTTACAACCACATCCAAATCTGGATTCCCACTGACTCTAGAAGTTAATCATTAACTTCATAATTTCTCAGTTGAGCAAAGACCCACCTCAAATCCTCTCCAAGTAGTCCTACTAAAAACAAACAAACAGAACAAACAGAAACAATCTCACAACCTCCTTCCTGAATGTAATAATAAGGAAACACATTTAAGGATGGCTTAATAATAATTTAATGATCCAGTTTTGTTACCAGTCTTGTATATTAAATGTAATATTTGATTAATCCATGCTTTACCCTTTGTTACATACAGACTAATACAGCTAGATGTAGCTTTTGTTAATATGATGCTATTACCTGATTATTACTGATATTACTATGATATGGAAACACTTGTGGGTTGTACTGATTATTCATGGGTCACTTGCTTTAGTATTATTGTAGGCTCTTTACCTTACAAGATAAAGCACCTTGAGGCAGCTACATAAATAAAACTGAATCCAACTGAATTAACCTTGGTGGCATGCATTCCTCGTGCGCCATACTCATCGATGCGCTCGGGTTCGATACTGTCTGCCCACCTTCCTGTCATCTCTTACTGCCTAATAAAAGCAAAAAAGCCAGAGATGATTCTAAAAAATATACAATTTTATTCATTTCTAGTCACGTTATTTGTTCTAATATGGCCAGGGGCTGCAGCTCCAGCAGATGGAGGCATGGTTCTCCTTTTGTGTGATGAAAGTTATTAAACGACATAAAACCAGCGCTGTTCTGCTGCACTTTGGTTTAGAAAATGCCGTCTGCGACCGAATAAACTGATGTATAACCACTCAACCTGAGCAACATGTAACCACCAGCCGGTTTTCGTGGTGCTAATGTTAGCAGCAGGAAAGAAAGGAAAGAGGTCTGAACACGTTTCAGCTCCAGTTTTGTAATCTAATTCTTAAAATGTTTATTCAGAGGCAGCTTTTGGATCTGTAGGCTCTTCAGACTTGTCTGTGCAGACCTGACAAGAGACTTGACAAGTTTTGCCTAGATATACTCGCATGCTTGCTGTAGTAGTAACCTCAGTTTTTTTAATGTTTTATGATTGCTATGCTAGCTGATTATTTTAATTCTATTCTATTCTATTTATATAGCGCCAAATCACCACAACAGTTGCCTCGAGGTGGTTCACATTGCAAGGTAAAGACCCTAAAATAGTTACAATAGATTAGTAACCTTTTAGTGACTTTAACCAGGAAGAGAGAGGAAGAACGTCCTGTGAGAGTGTCCTGGGTGGAGAGGATAAACTGTCTCCTGTAGGGCAGGAGAGAAAAGGCGCTCCTGGAGAAAGCCCTGTTAGTGTTAACCGCTGAGCCACCAGGCTCCCAGCTGTCACCCGTGTCGTAACATGGTACTACCGATGAAGTTTTAAAAGGGACCTCCACTCGTGTTCTTAAATTGGAATGCAAAGGAAGTCTCACAATGTCTTATTTGATAGTTTCCTTCTGATGTGTTTCGAGTGCTGACGGCAGTGAAGTTTGCAAACTTGCAAAATGACATCCGTGACTGCAGCATCCATTTTTAGGCGATGTCAGTTTGTCGCAGCAAAACTCAGTTGCAGGCAGAATGCAGAGCAGCGGCTGGTATTGGCTCTGATGCTGATGACTGATTTTATTGACTGGAAAATTAAATCACTTTGATATAGAAACCGTTGGCCCATAGCGGTGGCCTCTCGATGGAACGATGCTCGCAGTCGAAGAGCACCAAACAAATGTTTGGACCCGCTGCGAGCACATTTAAAATCTCATTTTTTTATCTTTTGGATCATTTGGTGTAGGAACAAAGTGCCGCAGTTTGTACTTTTTTAAATTTATTATTATTATTTTTTTTAAAGAAAGCTGTGATTATCTGTTTGAAGAAAGAAAGCAACGGGGAAAGACAAAGGCATCCCTCATGTATACATAAACTAAACTTTTTACATTCAAGCTGGACACATGGTATGTGTCTGTTTGTGTATGTGTGTGCATGTGTGTGTGTGGTTCGTGTTTCCTGCTCTTCCTGGAAGCAGAGGTGCAGCCTGTGCTGGAAGGTGGATAGTGTTGCTGGGTTGTGGCGTTGCTGTCAGCTGGTTTGTGTGGAGGATGGATGTGGGAGACAGAGGGCAGGCATATCACCGTGTCACCTCTCAGACCACCGGGTGCCACGCCCCGCAGTCAATGACATGTCCGCCTCCGCGTGGCTTAAAAAAAACTCTTCTTCTTTAACATTTCCCGCCTGCGGTTTAATAGGCTGATCCTCACGCCAGAGTTCATCCTAGTTAAAGAAGAATTAACAGCTTGTGTCATGCTGAGATTCATCAGGGATTTGCAAATGATCCAGTTTATTAATTTTTCTGTTTGTCTGGCTCTATCATAATTTCTTTGCTGTTCATTTCTCGTTAACACGTGGGACAAATATAAATTATTTATAAACTATAGTTGTTAAAGTCAGGCCACCAGCAGGTAATGCCTTTTATTATTATTAAAAATTAAATGTATTTCTTTTAGACACTGATATTAAAATATTTAGGTTCTGGATAGGGCTGCACACTTTGTCGAATTTTTAATTTAAATATCAATTTTGGCTTCAAGCAATTAATAAAACAAGATGAGCAATATAAAATGTTTAACACGGATTCTTTGGTTTTGCCTTTCAGCACATCTGCCTCTGCAAAGACTTGGTTCAGTTTTGCATTAATTTATTTAGTTTTTGGTTGAAGTTAAAATTCAAGTGGCTGAGGTGGGGTCAGTCATGTATTTTAATGCACTGTTGTGATGTTTTATTCATTTAAAATGTTTGCTACTGTAATTCTGTTAATCTACCTCTCCTGCTATTAATTATTTACAGTAATTTTTTAATGGAAGTTTCTGTTCTGGTGATTTTTAATATTATAAGCTTTGATTTTAGTGTAACTTTCCCCTGCACTGTCATGTTTTCCACGGCTAATGGCCTAGAACAAGATTCAGAGATAACCTGGAGTACTTGGGGTTTGACCAGCCAGTGCAGACATGCATGTGGACAGCCTTTCAGGGATATTAGGACAGTGTGTGTTTCAGCTAATAGATCCCATCCAAACCAGACAAATGTCACATACATACTTTGTTACATACAGACTAATACAGCCACATATAGCTTTTGTTAATATGACACTATTACCTGATTATTACTGATAATTAGATCCCATCTAAACGTGACATGAAGAGTAGGTGGAACTGCAATCTCTGAACTTCTTTCAGCAAAATAAAATCTTATAAAACACAATTAATTACATTCAATTTGTAAAATGTCTTTCATAGGTAAAGGAAGCCATACAGGTATAATATACACTAAAAAATAATGTCATATTTTTGTTACGTGAGGGTTAAAAAGACAAGTTTCTTCTTTGATGATTAAATCATGATTTGAGCATTGACCAAAGTAATTGTGATTATGAGTAATCCTACTTCTACACCTGTGATAAATACTCTTGTTCTTCCTTTTTTGTTTGTTTAGACGAAGAACTTGGAAATCCAGGTGATGAGAGCGACGAGAAGAGCAGCAAACAAGGTTTCCGCCTCCGTCTAGTAACTTATTTATTCCAGCCTAAAGTTTCCCTGCATCTACGTCCTGCTTTCTTCTATTTAAATGTGTTCCCTGTGCTTCCTTTCAGTTTGGTCCTCAGATTATTCCAACTACTACCAGGGTTTGTGGGATTGCCAGGGCGACGAGTCAGACGAACTGACCTTCGAGAGAGGAGATCTCATCTACATCATCAGCAAGGTCAGCATCGCCATCAGCACAAAATAACCCGAGGGCTTATTTAGGCTTTTTTCACAACTCTTTGTTTTTCCCCTCGATCGTCCCTAATGGAAATCCGTCCCCGATTGCACGCTTGACTCGTAGATATAATTACTGGACCAATTACAGTAGTTTAGGATAGGATGCAGTTGTGTAAAACGTGCAATTATTTAAGGGTTAAACAACATCAACTCCAGTAATCACCTCGTCCTCATTTACTTTCTGAACATGCTGATATCTCCAGCATCTAGATTTGTCCGTTAGCATCTTGGTGCAGCACCAACAGCGGTGCTGTCTGTTCGCGGGCCACTAGGGTGAAGTGCCATTCGGGTGCTGCGTAATGGTGCTGTTGTTCATTACGGCGCCTCTATCACAGGGGTTAATTGAGTAGGCAGCCATGCGAGGCTCTTCCTTTTCTGTCTGACGTGAAACTGCAGGTGAAGCCATCCTGCATCTCAGCTCTTTTCCTTCAATCTATTTCCTTGTGTTTTATGGCCATCGTGTAGTTACATGCGGAGTATCTACCAGGAAAAAGACATCCTACTGGAAATCGATGGCTTGTAATTTGGGTACTTTTACTCTGCTGCGTGCAGGGACTTGTCTCCACACTGTTGCTATTGGTTGGTTTCAAATTGAATCATCATGTTGTGTGTTTAGACTAAATTATCTGAAGAGGAGAGGCAGGAAGAAGGAACTCTTTTTTTTTTTCTTTTGTAAGTAATTATGAGCTTAGAGATGAGGAAATTATGTATTTAGTGTCATGATTTCTTGCATCTTTAATCACCAGTAGATTGTGGTGAATTTTGAGTATTTGTCCTTTTTTGGTTAACAACAGTTTCAGTGCAACAATCCTTTCAAAGAGGTCAGGGTTTTGGATTTTGATGTATGAATTGTGTCAGCTTGTGTTGAAGGAATGTGAGCCTCCTCTTTATAACAACAGATAAAGCACAGGTGAAAAATGCCCCTCGCAGAAGATGGACTTATAATTGCAGTTCTTTTGGCAGTGGCAGATTAATGAGATGCCAGGCTCGTCTGTCTGCGTGTGCTGCTTGATAGGGGGAAATGTCAAAACAGCCACATCAATTTTTCACAGCGATGACAAAAGCACTGTACTCGGGGAGACAAAGGGGTCCTGGCTCTGGGCTTCAGATCCGCCTCAGATGGCCTCGGCCCCACTCGCCGTTATTACTTTTCACTGTATGCATCAGATTACTGCCTCGCCAAAGACCTTAAAGGCAAACTAAGTCCAGGTTGGAGGCAGGAGTTTGCTGTTGTATCTCACAATCTTAATGACAGAGATTACTCTTGTTTTGTCAAACTGGACGCTGGAGTCATAACAAGGTGACAGACCACGAGAGAGCGCCCTAACTGCCTCCTAATAGACTTCAAGCGAGCATTGTAAATTATTTAAAGGTGATGCCCGCACGACTTCCGAATGTTTGGTTTACTGTGACGACACGACTCCACCCGTGTCCCATTCTGCGTCCTAATAGCATCACATTCACCTCATGAATAGCATTATTTGGATTATAGCCTGTAATCGCCTATTCATTTTAATGAGCCCTCGGGGAGGGCTTCCCTGTGCCTTCTGTATGTACACGCAGACCCCCAGCGGCATTCAGTTTTACGGGGGGAATTCCTAAGGACCCTGACCTCGATGAGTGAAATACGGGCCCTTGGCTAGAACTCAAGCCCGTCGCTTAACGGGGGACCCAGGCACACGAAATGGCCGTAATAAAACCAGGGCCCATAAATTCTCTCAGAGGGTGGGAGGCCTGGTTGTCTGTGCTGTTATGTCAACACTGACCATAATTACAAGGTAATAAGGACACGCTCTAAGTGCTAAATCAATGGTGCTAACAAACTGTTATTTTTAAAGCTGCGATGTGATTGACTGCTGAAGTGCAGAATGGGATAGCCACAGGCGTGGTGTCATATGGCTGTGAACTGAGGAGAACATGCCGATTGTATAAAAGGCCCTCATCCATCATTATTGATCTCTCACTTACTGTAAAGTGGGAGCATTTTTACTGTATTTGTGTTTTTCCTCCCTCTTGTGTGTTGCTCTGTGTGTGTGTGTATCACTGACAAAGTAAATAAATTAGAAACCTCACAACTCATATGAATCCCATTAGTTCAACAGAATTAATCTCGCAGACCGTGCCGCCTGGTTTCAGCGATGCCTAACTCTGCCCTCCGCCGATGCTCAGCCCGCTGAAACATGAGGTAGAAACGCACGCTGAAATCCATCATGTGATTTTTTTTTTTTTTTTTGCTCTGGCATTTCATTTCTGAGAGCTTGCATTTTTCTGATGCACATTATGGCTTTACGCTGGCATTTTAGTGTGTGATGACAAATACGGGTGAGCGCAGTTCTTTTTTTTTGCAGTATCACACTCTCCAATTTTAGATTTAAATTGCAAAGATGTTTCAGCCACATCAGGAGCGCTGTAACGGCATCATCGCCTCGCCGGCGTCATGCAAAGGGATATTATTTGTAGTAGGATTTAAAATGTGTTAAATTTATTGTTCCACTTCCCGCTGACACATGTAGTACCTGTAGTGCTTTGTCTCTAAAGCCATAAGGTGCATTCTTGCCCTCTAATTTATGGATCCACAATCAAAAGACGTGGGCTCTACAGGTCAGCTGTCACATTCCTGTATTCCCACAGGCACTCATGGAGAACGGCGGGATGGAGTGGGAAGAGATTTATGGCACAAACCCATCCAGGGTCCTTAAAACTCTGGCAAGTGCTGCCCCTGCTGCTGCTGCTGCCGCCGCCACCACCTCTCTTCCTCCATCCCGTCCAACCAAAATCCAGAGAGAGGGCGGCCGGCCAGCCAATCCGGTGCGGCTCCCAAAGAAAAGCGTCACTGCACATTTGGCCAAAGTGTTCAGCTTGTTAGAGACAATGAGAACGTGGACACCACTGACACCTTGTGGTGGTTTTTAATCGCTTTTTTTTAATGAAAACTTTTACAACCACTGAAAGCTGATTTACGTCCTTATAGATGTACTTGTTGAGGGGTATAATCGCGTAAAACTCAAGCTCGGATATTCACAATTTAAATTATATATTCCATGTTGTGTCCTTGCTAGCCGGGACAGTTTTTCGTCATGTTGCCTTCATGTTCTCTTTTGGCCCTCTGCGTGCAAGCCACACCAACTGAAAGCAAGTGAAGAAAAGGAAAAGTGGTCAAATAATCAGATGGGAAAAGTCAAGCCAGGGAGACAAAGAGGAGGGGATCCCTTTATTCTTTTGTGTGAACCCTGTCCACCGCCCCCCCTCTCTCTTTCTCCTTTTCGCTGTCACACAGCCATTTAAAGACCCCTAGCTGCTATTGTGGCCATAGACACCAAGACGCTATAGACAGGCAGAGACATCCTATTTACCACCCAAAGTAGCAGGGGGTGAGTCTGGGGTTTGGGGTCATGCAGGAGGCAGCGGTCATCCCCCGGTCAACTACAGTAGGTCATTATTCAGCCCAAGCCAATAGCCCAGAACAGCGTCCGAGCAGCCCACCCCCCAATCCATTCTGCTTAATTATTATAAATGAGGGGCGGCGTAAACAGCCATCATTACAGACACTCAGTGGCATACACAAATCCACTTTAAATTGCTATTAAGTTAAGGAGCTATCTGTAATCCCAGGCGTGCATTAGAAAGGAGCGAGTAGGTTTTCTTTTTATTAAATCTCATCGTCCCTGAGATATTTTCAAACGTTCTCATGCTCTGTCATGTTTCCAATTTGAAGCCAATTCGCTGATTTAATTAAAAGCCCACTTGGAAAAAAATGGACACCAAGTAGCCATTTCCATCTCTGGTTAAGCCGAGTTATCATCCGTGTTTCCGAGTAGATTTCGACCTCCCCACCCCATCAAAATAAAGAGAAGATCCTTCTACCCTGAAGTTTCAGGTGTTATCAGTTGTGAAGTGTACCTGTGTGAGCGGCGAGGAGGGCTTGCTAACCTGATAACAGGTTACAGATGGTGTGCTTGTGCCTGGCTGAGGTGTCCATGTTTCTTTATTAGGGTCAGCAGTGATGGAAGAACTGCAGAGAGCTGCAGTGCATGTGGAGGAGAGCGGGGAATAAAAACAGAGAGGATGCAGGCGGAAAGGTTGCTACAGGAGAGACGTGGAAGAGAGGAAAAAGAGGAGGTGGAGGAGGGGGTTGGAAATGGGGAAGGAGGGAGGGAGGGAGAGATTGTAACACCCAGGCGGCGGGTTCAGCGGCAGGGCAATGAGAGACTTCCTGCGCTCCATCATGCCCAAGGCCTGCCTCAGTCAGCTGGTGGCCGAGGAAAGATGCCTCATGTGTCAGGCTTATTAGCACTCCCCCTAGTTTGTATGCATTTGGGATTGCACGAGTGTGTGTGTGTGTGTGTGTTTCATGTGTGTGAGGAAAACATGTGGTCAGGATCCGTGCAGATTTTTACACGTGAAAAAGGTGATTTTTTTCTTACCTGACACGAATATTGAAGATGTGTTTTGTTTAGGCGGATAATGGTGGCGTGACACGACACCTGCCTTCGCCCACCGCCCTCTGTCTGTCTCTCTCGGTCGCCACATCCAGCCAACCTCGACTCACCTTCTCCCCGCTTCGAGGCTCGGGGTAGCTGTCAATCTGTCCTGCGGGTCGGGGAGCCGTGAGCGATGGGCCTATCAGAATGCCACCATTAGCCAGCCCCCTGAGTGGTAAATAAACGATTGCGCCGGTACACTGCAGGTGTTGTCATGGCAACCCACTCTCAGTGCCAGCCCCGCCCACACCCGTTCTCCCCCACCGCCACCCCACCTCTCCTCTTGGTGGAGGAGTCACCGGGAGGTCAGCGAGTCAGCGTGCCGCAGCCGCCACGACACGGCGCTGTTTGCCCCCCACCACCACCACCACCTCTCCTCCCCTTTCAATTTGCGCCCAGGTTGCAGCAAACACAGCCTCGGATACGTGTCACCTCAGCACACGTTTCCCAGAAGTCAGACCCCTCAGGGAAACCTTATTTTTCCCCCTCACAGGGAACATCTTCCATTTTAGTCCCGAGCCCAAACGTTTATCTGTGCCCCGTTTGTGAGTTTCACGGCCTGAAAGCCAAAAAAACCAGAGGAAAACAAACAGAAGGGTGGGGAGTGGGGGCATTGAGGAGCCTAGTTTTTGTCATTTGGATAATTTAGTCTGCAAGCCTTTTGGAATGTCCCTATTACAGCAGGTGTACTCTGGATGAACCCATTTCAAGTGTGAGGAAGATGGACTCTGCACGCCTGACAGACTTCTACCGCCATTGGCACCCACTCCGTGATGTAGCAGTTGTATTAAAATGGCGACGCTGATAATCCAAAAGACCTTTCTCAGGGAGAATTTGAGACCGACTGCACAGATGGGCCGCGGAGATAAATAAAACTCTCTGTCACTACGGTTGGTGGAATAGTGCTGCGACGCCCCCAAGGGAGAGAAAAACTGTTTCGCTCCCTCTCTCCGATGCCTCCCCCCACCGTCCGTCTGTCTGCCCTCTCCTCCTCCTCTCCTCACGTTCTCCGAATGGGAATCGGAGCCAGCTTTCCGCAACCGGGCTTTTCCCTGCACGGTCTTATGGGGAGCATAAAAAGGCCATTTCGGCCCTAACTTTCCCCTTCGTTATGAGCTCAGACACAGCGAACTGTCAGTTTGTCAGAGAGCCAAGCACACTGGAGCATCCCAGTCAGAGCTGTCAGAGAGGTTTGCAGGGGGAAAACGATGAGGCCTGGGTGGACAATCTGCTTATTGTGGGTACCTGTTTGTGCTGTTAGAACACTTGAGCCTTGTGGTTTATTACCGTCTAAGCGGTTCATCCATCCTCGCTGTCCAAACACCGCTCATTAGCTGCAGGCCTCATTCCTCTGGCTGCAGAGAGGTGTCAGGTCCGGATGATCGGCTAAACCTCCTACACGATGCTTTTCATCATGTCAACAGAGTGCGCGTGAACCAGAACCTGAATCTGAGGCATGCACTCAGCGGAAAAAACCCACCAATTTATTTTACATATGTGTCTGCACGTGTGTGATAAACTGTCCGCACAATCGCGTCGGGTCTGAAAAAGAGGAGAGATGAGTGGCACTGGGGTTTCTGCTCCAGCAGGGTGGCTTGTGCCCCCACTGCCAAGCCGATCGCTTTCCAAATATTGATCCAGTACAGATCTACTCATAGCCCGGCTGCTGTGATCAGATCATCATGCAGCGGTTCAGTCATGTTCGTTAAATGCTTGAAGCAGATTAAATAAGCAGCTTCATTATTTCAATGTACAGGTCTGGAAGCAGTGCAAACTGCTGTGTTCCCTGTATAAGTGTATATCAATTAACTTACTTACATTTGATTCGGCTTAGAGTTAACTGCGATTCTTTCAGCTACAAATAAACACACACAAAAAAATCCCTGTTTTCATAGAGATTCTAGTAGATTTCCTCCATGATAACCAAAGCATATGTTCAACCTCTATTTATTAATTTTTAAAGCCAAATTTTAGCCTCAAATAAATTTGTCTACATTATATTTTTAGGGTTTTTCTTCTAGGATGTTTTCTTTCAGTTCAGCAGATGAAAAATCAACATTTCTGGGGTTTCTTATCTGCACAGACTCATATGGTTTTCAGTCACAATACATCCTCCAGATCGATATTTATTGTTTGTTCTTAGCTTGTTTCAGGTTTTTTTTAAATCCCCATTATTATGCTTCTGAACTGTCCTAATTGTAAATAAAAGCTGTAATCATAAGTAATGAAAAAAACTGGTGTTTATGGGATTTTTTTTGAGGCACAGTGGATTTAATCGGTCACCTTCAACCAGCATTTATATTTTCTCTGAACATGCGCGTGAAATAATCCGTCTTTTTTGTGTTGTTTTTTTAATCACAGTACAGAAATGAACCCTCGTTATAATTAGTCTGGGGAAACGGGCCAGCTGTGGCGATGGCTTTGGAGCGGTTAAAAAAAGCTGTTTTATTGTAGACACTCGCTGTCTCGATAGCCTTGTTTACCGTTTGCCTCATTTTTTAATGAAAACCCTGGAGGCTAATACACCAAAAGTGTCCATTAGGAGTGTTGCGCATGGCTCTTTGTGGACGGGACCACGCTCGCCTGGATTTCCTGCGCCAGAGTTGACTTTAAGCATTTGTAACCTGATAGTTTTTCTCTGGGTTTCTGTGTTAAAATAATTCAAATGTCTCCTCTTGTGTTCAGTGGTGTGTCAAATCAGTATCAGTATCAAAGTGCAGGTTTTATGCCTGATCCCGCTTTGTTTACCTGTTCCTAGACGCCCTTTGAGCCTCACCGCTCTGTTTCTTCTTTTTTTTTGGGGCCCAGGAGTACAACATTCACGGGTGGTGGGTCGGCGAGCTAAACGGCACCGTGGGCATCGTCCCCAAGGACTTCCTGCAGCCTGCCTACATCCTCTGAGCTCCAACAGGTACCGAGGTACTCTCTTATCATCAGCATTATGGACCATTACTGTGGCCTAATACACAGAAACAGTCCCCCTGGTACTCATCCAGATTGCCACTGAGGTATATGCAGTCGTTGACCTGCCATTTATGGCATCTGCTGGCTGGAAGAAGTACTGCATAAAGCAATCCGAGTGCTGCAACGGGCAATGGGCGAGGATAAATATATGCAACAGAGGCATGATTACAGCGTCAGTTGTCCTATTTAAGAAAATGATTCCCTAATGCAGTCAGATAGGTGCAGCTTAAAATGAACACTGAATTATTAATGCGTCCTTCTCTGATACGGTTTCTTTTTCTTCACAGCGCTGCGGCTGCCAGCACGTCCTGCCATGAATTACTCTTGACACATCTGTCAGATAAGCGTTTGGCATTTCAAAATTATTCCCCTTTTATACCAATGTAAATTATTATATTATCACCTAAACCTGCTGCAGCTGTACTTACTCTTGTACACTATAAGCCATTTATAAAAGCCTGTTTAAAGAAAAAAAAAATCTAAGTGCACACTAGAGCTGGAGTAATTAGTCTGTTTATCAGTTTTGATAAGTGATCAATCGTCCTAAATGTGAGATTTCTCATTTTCTTTATAAGTCTCAACCACTGTGTAGAAAATTCAGAGAAGTGCCAAACTAAACAGTGAATGTGTTAATTCAAATAAAATGACAGACACATCAATAATTAAAAGCACCATTAGCTGCACTTTTGAGTGATTAAGAATGTTGCATGCATGCATTTATGAATCCACTGGATAAATCTGAAAACAGGACGTTGATTGTTAGTTTATAAATAATTTTCTCATAACTGACATAAGAAACAGTAATGTAAAGTATTTTAATGTAAACTCTGCTCAGAAATACTAAAAATAAAATATTGTGTGCTTTTGTTTCTGTTCTAAAGAAAAAGGGGGATTTTTAAAACTGTTTATTTGGAGCCACTAGGTGGCAGGCTTGCTTCAATGTCTTGAGTCATGTGTAAAAAGCTGTTTAATAACATGTCATGACAGTAAAGAGGACAAGGTTTTATTGAAATAAAATAAAATAATCATGTGCACATGTACATGGATACCATCACTCACATTACCCTCGTACTCTTTGACATCCGTATTTAAACAAAACTCAAAATAAACCCCTGTAGTTATTACCAGGAACAAAACCAGTGAAACGTTAAAATCCCTCCACAGCTTAGATGCAAACAGCTTATTAAAATAAAGTCTGATTTCTGTGCGAAACCTCACAAATAGAACCTGCCGGTCCCTTTTAAATGCAGCTTAAAAGAAGCAGAAGTGTTGTGGGAACAACGTCGCTGCCAAGATGCAGACAGGTTACAGGCAAGACGACCAGAATTTCCACAGCAGGCATTCAGGATGTGTTTGAACTCGCTCATTACGATGCCAGAGGACGACGGCACGATCACACTGGACGTTTCAGTGATCAAACAGGCTTAAAAATTTTGATATAACTGATAAATTACAGGATTTCTTTTAGTGATAACTCAGTTATTGTACCTTTGTATTTTTATTTAGCTTTTACTAGAATTTATTTTTAGCTTCCAGATTAGGTTTGCTTTGTTTTTCCTTTCTTTTTTTTTGTTAATTGAGGTTAAGTAAAATAAATATTAATATTAATTTATATAAATAAAATTCTATAATCATATTCTATGATTAACCCAAGGTTGTTAGTTTTAACTAAAACTCTGTGTAATAAAATCAAGACTAACTGAAATTATATTGATAATGATGATTAAAATGAAATAGAAATAAAAAGAAAATTACTTTAACTTCAGTGTTTGTCTGGTAAACTTTTTGTTGTTTGAGATTTAGGATGTCTAACTGCCTCAAAAGGGAAAAGTTTGTACTGTAAAACCAAAAAAAATATTTGACCAATGACAAATATCCTTTATATTTTAATATTTAAGTAAACTAAAATCAACACTGACACTAATAAAAACTGAAGTGAACATTTTCAAACCCACTCTGGGAATCAACAAATTGCACTGAAAAGGAAAGAAAATTGAAATAAAAATGAATTCGAAAATACAAAACTGCTGTATTTTAAGTGCATTGTGTAGCATGCAATAATACTCTTTACATGCAGATAGATGGAAAATCCATCATAAAATCCAGTGCATACAGAGTAATGAGTGATTTCAGACACACTGAGTTGTGGAGAGGAAAACACACAGGTGTGTTAATCATGGCTACATTTCACACAGGGCAGGTCCTCTTTTTGGATGAACCTCAGTTGACGTGTTTCACAGGTGTCTGCTGTGGAAAAAGGCCCGCTGGAGTTAAAGCTCACATGTGTGAGGAAGAGTAAACTATTCTTAAAAATAACCTGTGCCCATCTTGCCTGAATGGAGTGTATAAATTATAAGTAAAAACTCTTAGTGTGTGTAAAACCATGTCATGGCCCTAAAGGTGCAAGGCATCCATTTCTACTTCATGAAGCTGTATAAACACAAAACAGGAATCACATTGTTACAGATCAGAAGTTCAAACAGGAGCCTCTGTGCATTTCACAGGTTGACTTAAGTGTGTTTTTTCCCCTCTCATCCTTCAGTAATAAATACCAGTTTAACACATGATCAGAGACGTGTGTACGGGGACTGAACTATGCGTATGCTTGTTCTCAGCCCGAGTATCATCCTGCGTTAGTGACCAGCACAGTGAAAGCTGTGAAGAATTAATATAAGCCGGGTATAACAGAACTATTTAACAGCATGTGAAGCACATTTAAAGAGCAGTTAGGTCTCATTTGAGGCTCCAAATGTGACGAGGAACTCTAGATTTAGAGAAAAGTTCACTTCGTTCAATGTCTGTCGTGAAAGAAAAATGTGTCCACTGATTATTTATTTTAGTGGCTTTCACCATTCCTCCTCTCCTTATTGGGAATTTAGAGATCCCCTTTTCAAAGAGATTTAAATAAAGGTTTTTCACATTGATCTTTTAAGTGCTGAATTTCCACTCTCTCTGTCCACTGTAGGAAGCAGTGTTGTGTTTACAAGTTAACCCCCTCCAGGGTTTTTCTAGGCTCAAAATGGGCCTCAAGAGTCAAAGTCAATGCAAAGACTCTGTGTTAACATGCTTTAACTTACAAAAAGAAAGAAAAAAAGTCACAGTTCTGGTGATTTTGCTTTAGTAGAAAGCCAAAATCAATTTAGTGGGCACTAATTTTTTCATATGCAAGAAAAACCCCGACCTTGTGTTAGCATTTTTGGTTGTTTTTTTCTTTAATTAAATCAGGAAAACGTCTCTTGATGGTCAGTATGAACAGGAACCACAAATTTCACTAAGTTTCAATACAAACACAAAGGAATGTGAACTTATCCTTTAATTTAGGTGGATATTTTTGCCTAAATTCAGCCCCAGCTGTTTCCTTACTGAAAGGCCTCAGAGTATGAACCTAAACTTAACTCGAGCACCTTCTGCTGTTCACTGAAGCCAAATGGAGAAGTGAAGCAGTCAGGAGGGAAATCAGATCTGGTACATAACAGAGAAATTCTAATGTTAGATTCATGCTGTTTTGGAAGTGTTATACCTACATGACTGAGAGTGTGAGGTGTGTCTCGTAACCCTGACGATATGAAGACGCTGTGTACGATGGGCAGAGTTTGGAACCGAGCGTTTGATTCAGTGGATCTATATTAGAGGAAGACTTAACTAATGCACCTCCACCTCCTGAGTCTCCTCTGAAGGTGAGAGCGTGGCTTCCTCCTCGGTACATCTACCGTCACCCAATCCACGAGCGTGGCTGGTTGCTAAGATACTAAAGTCTCCATTTTCAGTCAGATATCCTGCAGTTACAGCAGAGTTAAGGTCTGCAGATTTACTCAGGTCACTGAGGGTGTATTGCAGGTCCTCATCCTCCTGGGCAGAAAGGTGCAGTTTTTCATCAGGATATCCGTTCACCTGCAGGTCCATGATGTTCCTGCTGGATGCCTCCACATCTGACCAGCGAGTGGCGTCTTCAGGAGGAGTCTTCACAAAGTCGTTTGCAACCTGGATCGAGTCGTCTGCCTCCTCACAAACGCTTTCCTCATCACTGACCTTCACGATGCTGTCGTTGGAAGATGGCAGAGAGGAGCTGACCGTGTCGCACTCGTCGCTTTCATCTTTGTTGCCAGCAAAATCCACTTCCTGTGTGTCATCACCATCCTGTACCACCGCAGATACACCGTTCAACATGTGGGCCTCGTCACTGATTTCTGATTCGAGCAGTGTTTCCTCGTTACCTCCTGCTTTGTTGCCTTTTTGGTCGTCTGCGTTGACTTCTAGAACATGAACCTCATTAACCTCAGAGATGACGGGATTCTCGGTACAGATGTTTTCCATAGCTTCCTGAGATCTGGCATCACTTCCTAAAATGTGTTCATCACAGTTATTTTCCTTAAAATCTAAAATCTTCTCAGAATCATCACATTTTTCAGGCTCACAGTTGACTTTTCCTTCATGAGCATCCTCATTACTCTCCTGCAGCTCCACCTTTTCTTCTTCACCTGGAGGTAAAACAATCTTCCCATCGATCACACTGTCCTCAAAGCCGATCCCCGTGAACGTGTGCACCTCCACCGGAGTCTGTAACCTCTGCTGGATCTGCTCAGCAGAGCTAAGACTCTCTGGACTGTCCCCCAGATAAAAGGTTGCCTCTGATGGGCCGCTGTCCTCAAGAACCGTTTCAAGAACGGCCTCAAGATGGTTGCTCTTCTGGGAAATCCTTACTGAGCATTTCTTCCTATGGTCCTGATCATGGACCTCCAGTAAACCTTCTAGAGGGTCAGCGTCACCACATGAGACGAGCTCCGGGCTGATGGTCTCATTAGGTTGTTGGCAAGGTTGATGAGGAGCCGGGCTGTGGAGGAAAACGGGAACAAGGGTTTAGAAATTGTTCAGTTTAAACATTTTATGAGTTGTTGATACGTTGCTACTAAAGGGGAGAGGTGTAAGGAAAAGCTCTAGAATACGGAGACTATGCTGGTTAGCTCAGCTTAGCACAAAAACTCCAGAATGGAGAAGTAATCATCCAATAAATAAATAAATAAATCACAAAATCAATCATCCAATCCCAACAATTTCCATCTTTTTTTTTTGTAATGTGTTAAACAAGATAAAGAAGAAAGGGCTCTATATAACTGCCAACATTCAGCCGAATTAAGAACAAGCAGCAACATTTAGGGCTAAAAATCTGCAGTTCCTGTTATCCGATTGTTCAGTCTGACGTCACTAGCCGTGTCTGGGTCTAAACTCCGCTGCAGGTCCATATATCAAATGATCACTATGGGATTACTGAGAGTTGAAAAACTGTCTAAAGTCTTTCATCTTTAATAAAATGATCAGCGTTCTGCTCTACCAGGTGTAACAATTGAGTTTAACATCCAGGCATCCATGAAAACGGAATTTATGACATTTAACGGAGTTAGAAGTTAGCAGGGAGTTAGCTCGCTAGCTTCTATCTAAATACAATATAGCATGTCCTGACTGCGGGGTTTTGGAAACAAATTAAAACGTACAGCTCTGTTATCACTTCCAACATAAATGAAGACAGAAAACTAAACAGCAGTGACGTTTGTAGGGTTACTGAAGTTGGGCTAGCTGGTATATAATGATGTGCTACGTGACCGCTAGCGACACAGCTATGTTAGCATAATATAAACAAGCTAACTTTTTTTCCCACTCGATAAAAGTTACCGTGAGTGTTCTCGGTGGTCAGAAACAAATGTAATCGCATGGCAGGATGCTGTAAAAGGACCAAACTTCAGCCAGGAGAACAACTGAGATAATCCATCCACAATACGAGGTTAGTCATTCATATACTGCTGCATGGGCTGGGCTGTAGTTACATCCTAAGGTTTTAAAAACTGATCTTAAATAAATGATTAGTGGTAATAAAAGCCGAGGGAGGTCAACAGTGATCACTGACTGTTTTAGGAGCTTTTTGAGATCAAATAGAAGAAAATACAAAACATTAAACATGTTAACAATACAAAAGCCATATTAAACGCAGACTACTTTAGACCCGGAAGTAGGATTCGTCACGTCATCACTTAACAACCGGATGGCCACTTGAGGCTGGCTGCAAATGAGTCAGTCCCCCATAGACATTGTTAAAATGCCCAACTTTACTACAGAAAAAAAAATACAATGGTCTAATACAAAAGAAGGTTTTGGCCTCTTTGGGTAATTTTTTTTTTAACTCATCGATTTGGAAACTTCTAGACTTCACCTGGCCTTCTCCACCATATTTGTAGTACTTTTGGAGTATTTTTAAAGTGATCTGTTAATATTGTCTGCTTTGTGTTTAACTGAGCTAATAAGTTTGTGACTTTTGGTAAGTGAAATTCTGGATTTTTTTATTGGTTATTTAGGAAAACTTAAAATTCAATCCTCTTGTGCAAATATGGATGCTGCTGGCTTAAAAAAACAACAACAACATCAACGATGACAACAACAACAACAACAACATGGTAGCTGCTAAATGTTAATGCTGAGGCTTCAAATGTCTCAGTTGGTGAATATAAATAGTCTATTGTTTACAATCATAGACTGTATATAAATGATGGACAAACATATAGACATGTTATATCTACTCTCAGGTTTTAACATGGAAGTCTATTAGATTGGCTCACTTTTGGAGTGAGCCTCAAGTGGGCATTAGAGGTACTGCAGTCATTGTTTTTAGCCTGTGACATTGGTTGCTGTTTGCAATACACCCGTATGCATAATCATCTCTGTAGGTACCGTTCTGATCTTTTTCACTTACCTTTCCATTGATTCGTAAGAAATGGTCAAACATGGCTCCTTGATCAAATCGTCCTCCTGTGCCTGAGCTAGTCCCTGATTGGACGAGGCATACGTGAGGATGGCATCTGTCACGGAGTAAGGGGTGTGGCCTTGGACACAGTCCTGGATGTGACCGACTGGCAGCTGGGTCTGTAGAAAGAGGTGGAGCTGGCTGTCTGACAGACAGACGGTCATGTGCACCACTCTACAAAAAAACAAAAAGAAAAAAAATGACAGAGGTAAAACAAGATTAGAAAATGCTTGTTTAGACGATCAAATACTGATTTTAGAAGAAGGAGAACTGACTTGTCCAAGAAAATCTGAAGTCCCTTTCTTCTCTTCTCCAAAAAGTCCTCATTGTTGAAGGAGAAGAAGGATTTCCCTGGAAGATCTGGGACTGGTCTGTAAGGATAAATAATAATTATCCATGTCTGTGGAGATAATTATGTTAAATCTGGCATAGAAACACTGCTCCAGAGGTGCATCCTCATATTTGAGGTCACTGTTTCTATAAGCAATCCCAGTGAACCAAAGCACTCAGTCGCACTTTTTTTTCTGGTTGGTTCTGTGTGTCATCACTGAAGAAACCTGAGATTAAAGGATCTTTCAGACATATCTGTGAATCACACAAAGCTTATCTCATAAAGTCCAACAATAAAAACATGGAGCTGGAAATGAGCAGAGTAGAATCACGTTAAAGCAGATGAGTTTCCTGTTCAGTCCCGTTTTAATTTTGTTTCAGTAAATATCTGGCTCTTAGCTGCTAAATGCTCCACACAGAGCAGCTAATGTACATCCATTTATTTTCTTAACCGTTTAACCACTAACGTGGGCTGAAGCGTATCCGGCTATCACAGAGAAATAGGCAGGTACACCTCAGATAGGACTCCAGTCTATCACAGGCCTAACCCTCTAATCAGAATCACCAGTTAACACATGCAAATCCAGTGAGTGTACAGTCAGAGGAAAGGAGGAACATGCTTCACAGAGCTAAATGGAGTCTTGTTTCAGGCATCCCTCTACTAGATGAGACACAATTCATCTTTGTAAAAGACAGCCTTAGATCACTAACAGACATTTACACAAAATGTTTAATTGTTGTTGCTTTTTGTTTCTCCAGACTTTTTTTTTTTTTAAGTCCCAAATAAGTCATCCACGTTGATTCCATGTCCATTTCTCTAAATAAGGTTTGTACATCTTGTTATAGAGAAGGGGGGTGGGGGTTAACTGACTCTGTTGTGTAAAGCACTTTAAAAGAAACAACACAAATATTCTTATTTTAAGCATTCTGGAAATCCAGGATGCTTAAAAGTCTTTTCCTGATTGTTATTTTGGGATTAATAAACCCTGGGTGGCGACCTGCTTTCATCTCCATCTTTGTCATATCTCGTCTATAATATCCAGACAATAACTTGAACCTGGTATTCAATACCGCTGCACAATCCACTTTGTATTGTCTCTGTCCTGTCTTTGTTTATCGTACAGTTAATATTGTATAGTTATCATTATAGTATTGTATAGTTACTAATTAATACCTTTTTAATCCCTTTATTGTACCGAAATTTAGCACGTTATTTATTTTATAATGTCTAGTTTTATATCTCTTGGAGATATATCTTTTATATACTAATAAATGCACCGTGGGAGGCTTGAGGTGAATTTCGGTACACTGTACACTGTGTATACTTCTGTATTGACAATAAAGCTCTTGAATCTCTATGAGGACCAAAGAACAGAACAAAACTGGACCAGCTGACTTACACCAAACCGGCGTTCTTCTGCAGCTTCTTCTTGAGCCACACAAACTCACTGTACCGCCGCCGCACACAGGATGTCTTGGCTGTGAAGGCTTTACTGTTGGTCTGAGAAAAAAAAAATGAAAGTATTAAAAATGGGAACGTTGGTGATATTTTGAGGGCTTTTTTCATAATATAATTAAAATCAAAAGGCACAATAGCCTGACGCCAATAGAAAGAGAAGGGGGAAAGAGGTGTTGTTCTCTGTGCCGGAAATATTCAAAACTACATGAAATGCAGATTCTTTCAAAACAGAAAATAATAATCCCCAAATATTTCACTTAGTCCTGCCTAAAAACATAATAAAGAGTCAGATATTTTTAGGCCAGTGGCTGGGTTACATATGGGCCAGGTTTTTAGTAAACTCATGCCACTGATGATCACACTCATGCTGTGACTTTAGTGAGTCATGTTGCAGCTGGTGAAACTGCTGCTGAGCTTATGAAGTTATCACATGTCTGATTTGTTCCAGTAACATGTGACACTTTCTAGTCATGTCTACATAACAACGAGGTCCGTGGTTTTTAAAGAAATAACAAATAGAATCCAAATTCATGCTTTTTAAGATGTAAAATAAAATTGAATTAGGAGCAAACAATGTCAAAACTACAAGTTTAGAGAAAGAAGAACGGAAGCGCTACAAGGTCCTGACATCTGATCCCACAGCACGCCTTGGTGATGCAGGTAGGATTACAAAGGTCATGGAAAATGTGATAAATATCATCTGCAAGTATACCCTCAGGGAAAAAGAAAAAGCAAAACAAAACAAGGTATTGTGGTAAAATGATATTTTAACTTTGGTCGTTTCTTTAATCCAAATTAGTTAAAGAATAATGTGTTCGTCTTAAAAATGTATTATTCATTCATTCATTAATAAGCAATCTACCAACACCTGTGACCTGGTACATTCTAATCACCTCTGTCAATTCTTGATCTATATTATTATGTATTTTTTATATATTGTGCTATTTCTTAAATGTGTAAATCTGTAACATTTTGTAGTGTTAAATAGTCGACTCTGTTACTGTTACTGTACTGGAGCAACTGTAACCCACATAATTTCCTTAGGGATTAATAAAGTATGCTGATTCTGATATAAAACACCGAGGGTGATCAATGGGCTAAAATTTTTAAATTTCAACCAACAGGTGAACAAAAGTGCTGCTAAAGATCTAAACTTCTTAAAGATGATAAGAGAAAGACTTTAGACCTTTCTGCCGCCTGCCTAACAATAATGTGTCGCCTCCTGCATCTCCCCATTAGGTATCCTTTATATTGGCCTTCTACAGATAAAGGTCGTGTTTAACACATGTAAAGTCCTCACGCTTTCCAGAGTTAACACCCAGAAGACCCCTTGGGACCTTAAAAGTAATAGTTGAGCGGGGAAATTATGAATTATGCATGAAATTAGGACAAAGAATGCACTTTGTCCACTTAAATTTACAGAGATCTGTGCATTCGCTTTTACTTTCAGCCACTTGGAATGTATTTCAAGCGTCTACTTAAATTAAATCCCATTTATAGAAAAATGCACAGCACTTGTGATTTCCCTTTGTTGGAAAGTCAGAACCTCTCTGGTGGGTCGCAAAAATGTTTATATGCAGGAAAACCCCTGGTTAGATTTAGACACAGAGAGAGCTTAGGCAGTTAAATGTTGGACAGGTTTATAGTTCCTGTGAAGTAAGAGACAATAAAAGTGCTAACTTTTGTCCTAAAAAAAGTATTCTTGAGGAAACTGTCTCACCTATGCAACACAATAACATGTCGACAACAAACAAACCCATGTAAGATCATGTGAGGTTGCATAGTTTTAGCCAATATCATGAGTCAGCTCCCACAAACACACAGACACAGAGAGGAAATCCGCCCAGGCATGAAGCCTTGCTGCTGAAACAGCATTCCTCGGCACGGCTGGTGTCTCCATAACAACGTGAAACTCCTCCCCCCCTAAAAAAAAAAAAACATTCAAGGAGCGGTAAAGCCCCGACTCTTTTATACTCTTATCTGTTAAAAAAGTTTGAGGAAATCCTTGAGGTGTTGTTTCAGGAAGAAATGTCTTTATGTGTCACAGACTATTTAACATTCAAGTCTGTGTATTTTTTGCATTTTATCTGCACTGTAATCACTGCAAACAGTTAGTTTGCAGTACTCCATCCATCCACGCAGGCATGCATGCATGCATGCAGTGAAGCCAAAACCTCCAAAACTCCTGGGAGGACTCATGCATGTGTTGAGTTTGCCTCTTCATTGTTGGACACCAGCACCCAGGAGGCATCCTAGTGAGACAGTGCACCACCTCAGCTGGCTCCTTTCAATATGGTGGAGTAGCGGCTACATTCTGAGTCCTTCTCAAATGACCGAGCTCCTAACCCTAGCTCTAACGGAGGCACTTGCAGCAACAACTCATCCCTGACCTGTAGTGGGTTCTGTGAACCAGCTGAGAACTATGACCTCAAACTTGGAGGTGCCAATTCTCATAGCTGCGACTTGGCTACACCCAGAAATCCTGTCCATACAATTTTGATCCCAATCAGTGAAAAAAATTAAGTCCAGTGAAGTCCAACACCTACCGGGAATGAGTACAACCTATTACCGGCAATGAGGACCAATGGATTCAAACCAACAATTTTCCTGCTCTGAGGCAGCAGTGCTTAAACACACATTCACTTTGAATTATGACTCTGGTTTAATTAGTTGATATAACCTAGTTTAAACTACACATTTCTGCTTATAAATGATTATCAAAAGACAATTAATTTTTTTTAATGTGTTAACAGTCAAACAGAGACGTATGTTGACATAAAACTACTTGTAATGCTCATCTGTTATCTGCACTATAATCACTACTACAATTAAAGTGTGGAAAGAAAACCCTGTGATGTCCCAGAACTGTACGTGTTCTCTTCAGGTGTTTATGTTTTTTGGTCCAAAACTTTAACCTGAATGAAAATCTTTAATCACCCACAAACGCTGTGGCCAAACATTTCTGCTGCTGGTTCATTTTCATACTCACATGCAGGAATATTTTATAATCCACATAGGAGTTCCAGGAGCCTTCGTTCTGAATGCGGGGATCTTGAACCCGCACTGCCACAAACTCCTGAAAGATAGACACACAAAGCGTGTCAGCAGTGCTGTTTGCATGTGTGTTGTGTCATTATTGTGAAACCACCACACTGTTGGCACGACACAGGCCTCTTCTGCAAACTTTGTTTTTTACAGAGGCTTTTACCCATCAGTCTGTTGTTCTCCAGTTTAGCTAAAGGCTAGTGTGAACATGTGTAGAAAGCAGAACTTGTGTTGAAAATTAAAACATTTAAATAAGAGAGAGAGAAAAGGTACTTACATCTTCTTCGTGATTACTGATCATCCTACCGAGTGCTGCACTGCAAAGAGAGGAGCAAACAATCAGATCAGCTGCGTCAAAACCTTTTGAACATTGAGAAAGTTTTACCAGTGGCGTCATGAGCTCATGAATCACCCTTTGAAAGAGAAGCTGGGCAGCTCAGCCTAACTGAGTCACTCTCACACTCACACTTCTATTTACCATGAGTAGCCCGCAGCCACTCTTCCACAGAGGGGAGCATGTGTGAAGTGAGATTAACATGCAAGCTTAAAGTCACAGTTTTTTTGCTCTCTTTTTACCCTGACAGAGAAATGAATACATTAACTGGTTTAAAATAAGCTGCAAGCACCACATTTTCACTGATTCTTTTAATTTACAGTACAATCCAAGAGTGATACAGATTCTCCACTGAGGAATACCTTTTAAATGCAACCTGCTGAGTTGCATCTTACTAACAAGCCCAAAGGAAGCTGTGGAGACATGTTACAGCAGCATTTCTACTCCACTGCTGATGCAGAAAGTGCATCAATTTTTTTTCCTGCTTGCTCCTAATATAGATGCCAAGTGCATTTTACACTGCTGGGAAATGCAGATAATAGTACACCCATAATTTTCAATTAATACAACTAATCTCACTTTGATCTAATCAAAAACTAAAGTGATTTCCACGTCTTCTTTGTTAGGCTACATGGCAGTGCTGGAGCTAAAGGTGCTAAGCTTAAAGCGATCCAGTTTAACCAGCTGCAGTGTCAATGTGCAGATGTCATGTTAGAAATGAATGCATAACCGATTTGCAGCACCAATGTTACCTTTTGTATTTTATTTTATTTGTAATAGGCCATACTCAGTCGGTCCAATTTGTGCAAAAATAACACCCTGCTGTTTACGTGAGAGAGCTCACAGCCTAAAGCAGGCAGCCCGAGTTAACCAATAACGCTGATAATCACCATCATGACACCCGTTAACGCCAACTGGGGTTTCAGGTTTTTGTTGACACAAGGAAACCCCAGCTATGTTGAATTTTCTTCATAGTACACCTCACAGGACTAAAAGTATGCTGTTTAGTCTGTTTCCTGCTTTGCAAGCTTCCCTGTTATCAGTAACCAAATACTGGAAGTTGGTTAAACCACTGTCAGTTCAATTCTTTAATTTAACTTTGACTGACTGGTTTCTTCCACCAGTTCTTAAAACTAGTTTGAAAATGACATAACACTGTCTGAGTGACACCTACACGAAACCCAAAAGTGTCCACGTGTATTGAGTCTTGTGAAAGTTCAAAGCAACTGAAAAAGGGTATTGATACTCAGCACAAAGTGTAAACTATGACTGCATCCAAATATCAGCTGAATATCAGGACCAAAATCCACCACGAAATTGGTTATTGGTCTAATTTAGTATTGATATCACCTCAGAATTTGCCAGTCAGCGCTTCCTTATTGTAAACAATATGTACACGGGGGTTTTCAGGCAAAAATCAGACAATATGTGACAAAGAACATGCTCTTAATTTTTTTTGGCCTAAAAAAATTTCCCCATGTAATGGTGGTTTTGTGGCCAGTCTTAAATATAGATTCCTCTTATAAAGTGCACTAGCAAATAAGCTATAAATAACACACAAGCAGGATGCGTGAGTTCAGCAAAAGAAAAAAAAAACGATTTAAAAAAGCCAGGATGATCTACATGTACATAGCTAGTCTCAAAACAATCAACACAACAGGGACAATCACTTTAAATCTCCTTTTACTGTTACAGACACTTTTAACAGCTATTCTCCACCAGAAACACCGCGTAAATGTGTTTTTCTCTGCTTTAGCTGGCATTTCTTGAACCAGTTTGATAACAATCGAAAACAACCACATATGAGCACCCACTTGGAAGAGGTGAAGACTTAACAACAACGTGTTTCGTTTAGTTTCCTGGCCTGACTAATTGTACTTTTCAACAAGGTGGCTAACAAACAAACACCAGCTGAAGGGCTAGCTCCAGCTAGCAGGTACTTACTTTCATACGTTGGCTGCTGTGGTCTCGCCCGGTCGGCTGTGATCGACGTTGCTGGTTTCGTTTGTCGATATTTCTGCTCGATTTGGCAACAAATTCTTCAAACACAGAGGACTGTGTTCACCGGTAGCTCCTATCTCCATTTCGCAAGTCACAAGTTCCACCCCTGCGCGTCACGTTTTTACGTCACCGCGTAGTGCAAGGTAGCACGTAAAGAGGGAGGGGCGTGAACAAAAACCCGCTGGCTTTGAAAAGCTAGCGGGGTTGTTTTCTTTTTCTGTTTATTAGTAAAAACAGCAAACGATGATCAAATTGTTTTAATGTAATGCTCAGTTTGCTTAAATATTATGAGTAAAAGTTTAAAGCGGGTAAATTTGGCTCTGTGGATGCGGTACTGTCCTGAGATAACTGAAATACTGATTATATGTAATTCTTTAAAATATTTAATACCTCTATTCTTAAACAGTTTTTTGAAAGATATTTGTCAGGCACAATGAAGTTTTATTTACATCTCAGTCAGTCAAATAAATGCTGCTTGACTGTTGTTGTTGTGTGGTAGGTATGGTCAAACGGAAAATACTTTTTTTTATGGAAGCATTTTTTTCCACCACAGAAATTTTTTACCACATCAAAATTACTCAAAATCTTATTATCTCGACATTTCAACTTAATAATTCAAAGTTAGGGTTAGTGATTAAGATTAGGGTTGTCTGGGGCTTACTAACTCTTCTCAACATTTGAGAAAATAACTCAAAACTTACCCCAAAAAAAAGGGTAAAACTCCGACATTTAAAGTTCTTGACTCAAAATTTAGACTTAAAAATGGCAAAAAAAAAAAAAAAAAAAAAAAGTCAAAATACTGTGGTGAAAACACACTTCCACAATTTCTGACATCTTTCTAAAAGCACTACTTTTCATACTTTATATAAACGTAACTAAAATACTTATTTCTTATAATTGGTAATTTATTTCAACATGTGAACAATATACAAGTACATTTAGTAAAGAAAATAAGAGAGAGAAAAAAATACTATACAAATTACATACAAAAAAAAAAACAATCAGTACTTGTGCTCAGTGCTGAGCAAGAGCCTGGATCCACTGCTCATTTCTTTATATATATTTTAATTCTTTAATACAATCTGAACTCTAGGAAAGCGTTTAATATAGTTTTAAGTAGTTTGCAGGAACAGTTCCCTAATCTTTTTTGAGGACTTTCTAAGCTCATCTTTGGATGCTGGTTGGTTTTTCTTCTGTTCTTTGTCATGATGATGCCACACTGCTTCACTAATCAGAAAATCTGGATCTTTTATTATGATTCTGCCAAAAGCACATCAGAATTATATGCTGTCCCATTCACTGCAAAGAAAGCACTCTGACCATTCAAAAAATACTAAAATAAGAGTTTCTAATAAATACAGTATAAAAATATAAATGTGTACAAATGTGTGTGTGTGTGTGTCTGCCTGAGTCATTGTAGAGTGCACTGTAAAGTGTACTGTTTGTTTCAGCTTTTATTATCCTGTACTGCCTTCCTGATGCTAATAGCTGGAACAGGTGATGTCCTGGGTGGGATGCGTCCTTCAGGATGCTGTGGGCTTTACTTTGGCAGTGGGACCTTAGAGATCCTTAAGGAGAGAAGAGCACAGCTGATGATCTTCTGTGCTGTGCTGATGACCCTCTGGAGTGCTGTCTTTTCTTGAGCAGTGCAGCTGACAAACCCCACTGGCATGCAATATGTCAATACACTCTCAACAGAACATCTATAGAAGGACATCAGCAGCTCCTTGACTATAGGGTGTTGTTTTAGTACGAAGCAGAACGCCTGCTATTCCTTCAGTAAGATTGAGGTCCGTGCTTCCAGGAGGCCAGTGCATGACTGATAGAGTTGCATTGTGTGTTTTTCTATCCAGGTATGCTTTTACTGCATTGGCAGTGTTTTGGGATGATTGCAAAATGAAGCCATTGCCTATCAGATGCTAGATGGCAGGACATCAAAACCTGATGGTAGTTTTCTGCATTCATAATTCCATCAGTTTTTAAAAGTTCCCCAACACCACTGGCTGAAGTACAGCACCAAACCATGACATAGTAGTTATGTTAGCAACCCAGTCCCTAAAAATAAAAAGCAGCCAAAGGGAAAATATATGAAAGACCCCCAGAAAGCCTGGAGAACTAATTCTAAAAATTACAAGACAGTCTGGGTCCATGGAAGCAAAATATATGGATATAATCAGTGGCACATTAATGTGTATGTACATTTATTATTAATGAGATGTAAACATTTTTCATGACACAAAACTATAATAATTTATGGTCTTTCGCGCTCAATTTTGGTCCCTTATCGTTGCAGTTTTATTTGTCTAATCATTTTTCATCTTTATCTTTTTATGTATTTATTTCGTGTATTTTTCTGTGATATAAAGAACACTGTATTTAAACAGGGTTAGCTCAGGACGCCCGCCGCCTCCCTGGGACCCCGGCAGTACCGCTTGGTAGTCCTCCCCGCCTGGGTATTTATCCAGCTGTGCACAGATTTATAAAGCACCTCGAGCATCTATAACCTGTGTTTATAACGCAGGGAGGTCCGCTTCGTTCATCTCCAGCCCGCCGTTTGCGCGCATGCTGCTTCCGTAGATCTGTATATCGTCCGCACTGAGCGCGAGTGGCGCGTGCTGGCGCCGAGCGTTCCATCCGCGTGCTTCGCGGTCTGCGGAGGGGCTCCTCCTCGCGCTCCAGCGGGCGTTCCCCCCTCCTTCTTCTGCTCCCTTCACACCAGACGAAGGGGCGGAAACGACACATTTCGCCGTGGAGAAGGTAGCGGCTCTGTGTTTCGACAACAAACCGACACAAACGTTATTACCGTAAACCTGCGATAGCCGTAGCTGTTTCATTTCGGCTCGGGCGGAAGTTTTAAAACAAACCGATTACACTGTAAGTCATCGGTGAGTTCCATTTTTTCACCCTCCTCCTTCCAAAGGTGCTCTAACGCTGGATTGTGCATGAGGCTAACGTTAGCTAGCTGGGAGGTTTATTTTAAGTCAGTATTAAAAAGACACCTGCTCAGGAGACTAGCTCCGCATACTGCGCGGTTATTCGCGGTGTTTACATCCGACAGGCATCCCTGAGCCGCTACATTAGTTGCTACCACGAAGGCAATATGGAGGAATCGCCAGCTAGCAGTACACTGTGGGTCCCTGCAAGGCTTTTGTCGTGCGCTCTTTTCTTCTGCCTCTCGCTCTCTGCTAACGTTAAAAATAATCCCTTCTACACTGAGCACAGAGGAGTATTTTACACCGCGACGACGCCCCTTTCCCCCAAAGTAGTCCAGTTTCTTTTTTAATTAGCCCCTCCACGCTGCTGCTCAGCCGCCGCCAGGTGTTGCAAATCTCACGTTGTTGATGCTGATTGCTACATGTACGGCCATAGATGCCTCCCTACTCTGCCTCCGCTTTATTATTAATCGACTAAATTATGAATAAAGCCAGAAATGTTGGAATCGACATACTGGGAGGATGCATACTCATTTTTTGTTGAACCTAGAATAAAATATATAACACATATGGTAAAATCTATTGTTCTTTAATAGCTGGACAACCTGTTCTCATGAAGCACACACCAAACACATTCAATGGGATTATTTTAATCAATGGGAAATGAAAAATGTGGAATCAATAACAAAAACATCACAATTTTAGTACTCTTAATTCTTTGAGGCATGAGTAAGATCTGACAGATCAGCTTTGCAGAATGAACCATTACTTCCTTCAGTTTCCACCATACATTTGATGTACCTCGTCCCTGAAGTGAAAAACCTTTAACACTCTTTCCTCAGTGGCAGGTTGCACACCTTATCATTACCAAAACCTTTCATCACGGAATGAGAAAAGTCCCAAATCTGAGCATACACCTGTCCAGTTACTGTTACTGCCGCCTCCTCTTGTTCTCCACCTGTCCTCCAACCCCATACCATGAATGAGTGGGGATATTTGCTTGTTTTCTTCAGGCAAAAGTTCCAGCATCACCTTCTCGACCAGCCCAGATTCATCACTGAACATCTCTTTAATCCAATAATCCACCACCCATGATTGTTTTTTTTTTTGTTAGCCCACTCTGAGCTTGTTTTATTTTCCTGTATGGAAATCCCATTTCAATCAGCCCCTCTTCCACTTCTGTCACAAACATTAAATAGTTTTTCTTCTTTTTTTGCTTGTTGCTGTGCATTTCTATCACGAGTTTTCTGTTTGAATGATCCAAATTGTAGACACAACTGAGAACAACCTCTTTAGTCAGATTCCCTCTTTAAGCTCATTAGGGTCACGCTTCACCATCAACAGCTTTTGCAGACTTTTGCATATGTACATTTACTATGGTTATGCTACTTGAGCTGGAAAAAATGCAATTTATTAAGGTAATGAAGCCAGAATATCAGAGATTTGTTTATTTGCAGCAAAGTGAGAAAAGAGAGAGAAAAAAAGCTGAATGAACATCCTCCAAGTGTGGTGATTCCATCATTTTTGCTGGGGCTTGTATATGCAATTGTCTTACTTTGCACTCGGCAGAAGCACATGGAAATACCATTCTGTGAGCTTATATCATGTCATATAAGGTTATAAATCATGGTTAACATGAGGCAATGTAGATTAGGCAATCACTTCTTTGACAGAAAAGCTCTTAAACCTTTAAAAAAAACCCACAATCATAGGCTGATTGTAATAATCGGCATTGCCTCTCATGCTTCTCGTCATTGAATCCCATTCTCCAATGCTGTTTTTTTCCAACATGCAACAATCTTGACGTTGACCAGGCACCTGCGGGTCCCCAGGTCTACCTGATGAGTATGAGCCTGACTACAGAACCCTCTAACGATGGTCCCACTGTTACAGAAGGTTTTAAACATCATTATTTCCTAACATGAATTTCTGTTTCACTTGTCGTTGTGCGATTAAGGTGTCTATCAAGAAATGAATCGTGTACGTGACTCTATAAGTGTTTGTGATGCCATTTGAACTCGGCAGACACATGTCAGCGTCTTTAACTCTGCAGGCAGTAAGAGTTCTCAGTTTCAAGCCACTGAGGCATCTGGGGCCACAGATGTGTTCTCATTTCCCCTGTTTGCAAACCGACAGAGAGCAAAATGACTTCGGCT